GGATAAATTAAACATGTAGGTTGAGTGATAGTTCAACAATCTGTTTGTATTTTTCCATAGCTATCACATAGATATACTTTCAGATTCCAGCAGTTATTTTCCAGGGCAGGTTTCTTTTGGTGAGTTGTCAAGGGGGGACTTGGCACTTTTCATACATGAGGTCTGCAAATGCTTTTCCTCATTAATTTGACTGTTAGAAACATCCTATAATCAGTTCATTTTTGTTATGAAATGTATAAAACTGTTGATATGCCCATCATGCTTGATAGAGATCTTCTTTAACTCTATAAATGACATCTGGATCTCCTCACATTGGTGTTTGTATGCCTAACCTGTTTGTTTTCTTTGAATGTCTTAATACAAATAGTTTCCCGTAAATTGCTATTTTAAATAACATGTTCCATTCTAAAAAAAAAATCCTTTCGTTATTAGCTGTACAAGATTGTCCAGATTAAATGTTTTGCTGTCTGCAGGACCATTCCGGTTTCTTTTGAAATTGTACAAAACCAGGTATTAATGTCATGTATTACATTCCCACAAACTAGGCGGCTGCTGCTTTTGTCTGCTTTGGATGTGCAGACCGATGTGCTTATAAACATTTTACAGGCATCGCCATATGCAGAGCGAGACTTGACTTCCTTCCAGCGATCAGAATTAGAGTTTGGCAGCTGTAATCGGTCAGACATTTCCTTGCCGGGTCCCCTGGGGATGGTAAATGGGAAAGAAGAGTTTCTCTGTGTGACATGAGCTGAAGCCATACTTGCTGCAGATCATCTATGTAGAACTGCAAATTAACAGAATGCATAAAGTTCAAGGCATATCATATCTGGGAGGGCAATGGCGGTATGGCTCTTAGTAGCTAATAAGATGTTCTTCTCAATTTTTAAGGTATAAAAACTTTACATTTAGATACACTTTACACTTGCTTTAGAATAGTTTGGTTGTGTTCACACCTGTGCATTTTAGTGCATCAAAGTGACACTAAACTCAAAAGTTAAATCTAAAAAAATGTTTCAAGTACCTTACCTATTAACAAAAATGTATCTTATTTGTGTATCAATCAGCTGTAGATCCTCAAATCATCTCTGAATTGGCGCTGACACTGTCCTTCCTTCTGGAGGAGGGCTACTTTTGTTCTCCATGGTCCGTGTGTGTGTTATAAAGTAGCCAACCTCACTCCTGTGATGGACTACAATACAAGGTTGTCACGGCAGTGAGCTTGTTGTGGTCACTACTTTACTACAGGGTTGTAGTCCATCACGGGAGGGAGCTTGTAGTGGTGACTACTTTACTACAAGGTTGTAGTCCATCACGGGAGTGAGCTTGTAGCGGTGTACAACATACACAGAGACCATGGGGAACAAAAGTAGCCATCCTCCAGAAAGGTACACTTTCTAAAGTACCCCTGTGACCCAAAGAAACAGATAGTGGACTACTGATTGATTGGTTATATGGTGGTACCGTCAGGTGACTTGGACACTGGTCAGAGCCATCCGGAACCTATATAACCTATCCCCTTCCCCAAGATGCTCAGTTATTTCTTACCTCAGATCCTCAGGGGAGGAGGGGGCATGTCTGGCTATGAAGGAGAGCAGACGCGTGTATTGGAACTCCGAGGCGGTTTTCAGCATATTATTGAGCCATCCACTTATCTTATTCAGTATGCTAAAGTTCAGGAAGGCAAGGGAACACCCTGGACCCCCGCAGGGCAAAATGAACAAGAGTAATTTGTGGCTTCTCCGTGTCCAAGCCTGTGGTCAGGAGGCCTGGACATGGAGGGTGTGAGTCAGGCCAGATATCCCCAGGCAATCGGGTAACCGCTCGAGACCTTGCCAAGTGCAATACCCCACCTGCAAGACAAACACCCACACTCACCAATCCTTTCTTCAGACTTGCGAGACCCGCCATCTCCCTCAAGCTCAGTGTTCTCTCGACCCGGAGGTGGTTGGAGTTCAGATAGACCCGGATATCAGGATTTTGATATGGGCTTTGCCTACGTGCACAAACCTGGATAATTGGGCACTACAGATTAAGGAGGCACTACAGAAGGAGGTAGATCTTCTAAAACAGTGAATGTCTGTTACTTATTCCAAGGTAAATAAGCTCCAGCATCAGCATGAGGCACGTATTGTGGCCCTTGAACTTTCCCATAAGTGCTTTCAATGGAGGTTAGTGAGAATCAAAACCGGCGCAATAATATGTGTGAAAGGTATCCCGGAGTCTACCGCTGTCCAGGGCCTGTGCAAGACCATGATGATGATTGTGAACTCCATGTTCGGTAGGCCTCCACAGGAACCATTGGAGCTGGATAGGGTCCATCGTGTGCCATGACCTGCAGGGGCGAACGTGGACCATCTCAGAGATGTGCTTTGCAGTGTCCACTTTTATACTGTCAAAGACACCAGTGGTCATACACACTTCTATCGCAGTGGGACATGGCCAACAATGTATCCCTAAGTTCTGATTGGGAATTACAGGCTTTCCAGATCTGAGGGGCCAGTTTCTCTACATTTTGTTTCTAGGGGGAGGGAAGAAGGTATTTTATGCAATATGTTCTAGTCATATGTTGTTCCTTGGTGTATGGACTGCTTCTGTAATGTTGCTTGTCACCTAATATATTTACATGCCAGGCCTCGTCCTACATCAAGGATGTGATTCTTGCCATTTCAATGTTTGTTTGTTTTGTATGTGTTGTCTGTCACCTCTGCCATGCCGCCCCTGGTACAGCTGATACTCATGTAAGAGGCCCCCCAGGCTGCCCAGACCCTTCACATGGGTACCAGCCATACACACACTTCTCCTCTCCCGCCACCTGTTACTAGGGATGCAGCCTGGAGAGGAGGTGAGTCACAGGACCCACCCCCTTGCTGATAAGCCCGTCAGAAGTGCGGGGCCCTGCACTGCCGCATATTCAACTAGAGGGTGGCCCAGGACCGGACCTCACTGGACCCCCCACAGCCTCAGGCCCCGGCGGTAGTTCCAACCCTGGACAGGGAGCCGCATCAGAGGGATGAAAGAGCCACATGCGGCTCCAGAGCCGAAGGTTGCTGACCCCTGGTATAGCAGCTATGTGGTATTTCGATCACTTTGTCTGTGTCACCCTGGGATTTTTTCAGGTTATATGTTATGAATGGTGTGGTTTTTTTCATCTTGTATCGGGCGCAGGGGCCCTTCATGGGCTTTAACTCAATGGGTGCCAATTTTTGATGCAACAGCCTAAACGTCTTGTTATGGTTATAGCAGCTTTTTACTGACCAGCAAATGTTGCTACAGCTTTTCTTTATATTACACCTCATACCCCACATAGGCTCCCCATTTGCCCTCCAGAGTGGGCTTTGGGATATTGGTTTTACACTCTTCTTAGTATTTGTTGAGACTCTTGCAGTCTCTGTTCTGCTTATCTTGTCTATCCTCCTTTTATTATACTTTCTTTCCCTTTCTTTTCTGTTCTGCACCGGTCCCTTTCCCTTTCCTTCTGCTTTTCTACCTTTTGACATTTTCTCCTTCCTTATCTCCTCCCCTGCTTCAGGGGGGCTTTTTTTATTTTTGCATCTGCTGTTTGGCACCACTTTATTATGGCACACTTATGTAAACCTGTCTCTTTTAATGTTCAGGGCCTGCAGGCTCCGGGAAAAAAAACAGGCCTCTTGGCGGTACTGAAAAGACTACAAGCTCGTATATATTTTTAATTCAGGAAATGAATTTCAAGCTGTCCAGTTTTCCCAGATTTCAAAACAAATGGTACCCTAATGCATATCCATTGTGTATCCATCCGTTATTAACTTATATGTATATGTACATATATACACCTTGAGGAGGTAACTAGTCCCCCAGTTCGGTGGATATATATATACCTTCAGAACAAGGCAATATATTAATTTATATTTTACACCTACTTTTTTACGGAATCCACCTTTAGCGCTGTGTTATCACTTGCACATCATATCCATTGTGGCTCTTTGAATTCCAAATCCAAGGGGGTTAGTTTCTTGATCCAAAGGTTGATCCTGTGTGAGTGCCTTAATACCTGGCATCAACCTGAGGGGCGAGCTATCTTTGTAAAAGGGAAACTTGGTATCCAGATTCAGTGGCATCACTAGGGGGTGTGGCCTGCACCCAGGTGACACCATTGGAGGGGGTGACACCAAAATGACTTAGTCATTTTGGTGTCAAACCCCTCTGAAAAGTCGGGCACTTGTTCATGCACCCAGAGCCCTACAGTTGCACGAGAGAGAAGGGGACCCGGCGGCATACCTTATGCCGCTGGGCGAACGTCCCCTCCTCTCTCTGCTGGAGTCCATCACCAAAATGGCCCCCGGCAGGTAACAGCGCGTGACGTCATCGTGTGCGATGTTGTCACGGCAGGGTGTGACCCGGTGGCTGCTCTGGGTGACACCATGCCTCGGGACGCCCCTGCCCAGATTTCTTCAATAACAATTTATATCTGCCTAATGCCAACTAAGCCCCTTTTTTAGAATCCGTGCTGAAAGATTTGAAAAGTGGATTTAAAATGAACATTTAAAATGGATTTAATTTTATTTATTTAAAAGGACCTAGATTAGTAGCAATTAAATTGGGGCATGGCCCATTCATTGCACTGTATGTGAGTGCAAGTGGTTTAAATTTGATTCATTTAAAAGGACCTGAGTTAGTAGCAATTATATAGGAGCCTGGCACATGCATTGTATTTGTAAGTAAATTTGGGAAGAACACACATATCCATATCATCCCCTAAAAAGAAATGTTTTTTCTGTGTCTTAGGAAAGTTTTTTTTTCATATAAGCATACCGATACATAGATAGGCAGTATTGAGACAGTTTGAGCTGATTTCATGTGTAATACTCATACATGTATCCCTACCTCTAATACGTTAGTTTGGTGCGCTGATTTCAAGCCTTCAAAACACATGAGTCTAACTTCCAACCTGATTCCCAAACTGTCTAATTAATATACTGTAAATGAAGCACTGTCTGACTTTCTTCTTTGTTGTCTTGAATAAGGTTACCGGCAGTTCTGGTAAGATGTACATCTGTTACAAGGCATGCCATTACTGTTCCTGTCCTGCCTTCACTTTCTCTGTACTCAGAAGAAGCGACAGCATGCTGGTAAGTTAGATATGTAAACTAGAGGAGGCAGTAGAGCCTATGGTGAAAATTCACTTTGCAAATAATACCTAATCACAGGCAAGCAGAGCTTTACTACATTCGCTAAGCTTTAGTAAATCAACCCCTAAGTGTAAAACACATTTGTTGTTCAACATTCAAACAAATCAAATAGGGTGTCACAATATATTATTTGGGTGCCCAAATAGTTAAACATATTAAATAGACTCTGTTGAGCGAAAAACACATTTGTGAGACCCAAAAGCCATGACAAATTGATATACCAGGGTCCTAGAAAACAGGTCAGTGACTCTTTAGGTCATAATCAAGGGCACAACTATAGCCATAGCAGACCATGTAAGTTCTGTGGGTCTCAGAATCATCTACAGTATGTAAGTAGCAATAGCATTTGGAAAATTTGGATAAAATTAGGGATGCACCGATATATCGGCTACCGAAATATATTGTCCTAAAATGGCACTTTTGGCTAAATGCCAAAAGTGCCATTTTCCTGCAGATACATCGGCCCATCCCTGCTTTCTTTACGCTGCTCCGTGTCCCAGCAGAGAGGAGAGAAAGTGTGACAGCCAGCCTAGCGCTGCGGGAGGAGATCACTGTGAGCGGCCGGCGTCTCTCCTCTCACACCGCTCAGCCTCCTGTCACAGTCCAACAGAGCGGTGTGGGGGTGGAGACAGCCAGCGCTGTCACAGGATTCTGAGCTCTCCTCCCGCACCACTCGTTCAGCCTCCTGTCACAGCTGTCAGAAAGGAGAGCAAGTGCAAACACTCAGCGATCAGTGATCACTGAGTGTTTGTAGATAAGTGGGGCATAGCATGTTTACTATATCCTCAATTATGAATGAATAGGAAGTGATCTACATCACCTCCTTTTCATTCATGATTGAGGTTATAGTAAACATACTCTGTCCTCATGTTATCAATGAACAGGAACACTCATTGTCCTCAATCTCTTTTTCTTTTTTAAAAGGGAAATATCATGGGTCTGTTTAGACCCCTAATATTTCCCCGAAGCCCCTAAAAGTAAAGTTAAAAAAAAAATGTTTTTAATAAAAAATGAATTGATAAATAAAAATAAATATACAAATTTAAAAAGTTTATAAAAAATAAATTAAAATGATATATCGCTTCTGTTGTAAAGCCGACAGTCGGCTCTACAAGTTTAAACAGTGTCCCGGCGGCAAAAGTCGCCGGGAGTCTGTTTAAATAGCCCCGATGCTGGCGTCAGTCACGAAGGGGTTAATGGTTTTGCAATGGTGCCCCATCACAAATAGTTATTGCTCTGGTCACATCTTACATGTCAGTTATGTCTCACTATAGCCACTTCATATTGGACATTTCTGCTCTACTTTGGCATGGGTAGTGTTAAGGTATCACTACTACTTACTGTATATTAGGGTTGGGGGAGATATTCTACTTCACACTCACCAATATGACTAGATTGGTCTGCTTCTTTCAGTGAGTGACAATAGCCCTCAATTATATTGTTATATCAGAAAGGAAAAAAAAACTGTAGAATCCAGTCTTAGCTGTAGTAATGCTGCTATATCAAGTCACAGCAAAATAAATAGTGGAGGACAGGTTCTCCTCTGTGTTCCTACAATGATGGTTCAGAGAAAGGAGTCCACGGTTAAAGTAAAAATAATTTGCAATACATGGGATACTTGGAATACTTGGGCTTTAAATTTGTGTTAGTACAACCCCAATTCCAAAAAAGTTGGGATGCTTTGTCAAATCTACATAAAAACAGAATGCAATGATTCGCAAATCTCATAAACCCATATTGTATTCCCAATAGAAAACATAGCAAATGTTTAACTGAGAAAATGTGCCATTTTAAGAAAAAAAATAAGGTCATTTTGAAATTGATGGCAACGTATCTCAAAAAAGTTGGGACAGGGCCATGTTTACCACGGTGCACCCTCCCCTCTTCTTTTAACAACACTCTGTAAATGTATGGGAACTGGGGAAACCAGTTTTGGGAGAGGAATGTTGTCCCATTCTTGCCTGATATAGAATTCTAACTGCTCAACAGTCCTGAGTTGTGATACAATTTCTTTGTCGTATTTTACATTTTAAGATGTGCCAAATATTTTCAATTGGTGAAAAGTCTGGACTGCAGGCAGGCCAGATAAGCACCCAGACTCTTCCACTACTAAGCCATGCCAGTGTCATAGATGCGGTATGCAGTTTAGCATTGTCCTGCTGAAATTTGCAAGGCCTTCCCTGAAAAAGACGTCATCTGGATGGGAGCATATGCTGCTCTAAAACCTGGATAAATCTTTCAGCATTGATGGTGCCTTTCCAGATGTGCAAGCTGTCCATTCCATACTCACTAATGCAACCCCAACACACAGTTTTCCACCTTCAACAGACCATTTTAAATGAGTTTTGGCCCAGATAAGACGGCGGTGTTTCTGGATCATGTTCAGATATGGCTTCTTCTTCTGATAGAGCTTTAACTTGCATTTTTGGTTGGCATGGCATGGCAAACTGTGTTCAGACAGTGATTTTGGAAGTATTCTTAAGCCCATGCAGTGATGTCCATCACAGACTCGTGCGTGTTTTTAATGCAGTGCTGTCTGAGGGCCTGAAGATCATGAGCATCTAATATTGTGTTTCGGTCTTGTCCCTTCCACACAAAGATTTCTCCAGATTCTCTGAATGTTTTGATTATAATATGTACTGTAGAAGATGATATATTTAAAATCTTTGCAATTTTATGTTGAGGAACATTATTCTGAAATTGTTCGACAATTTATAGAAGCAGCTTTTCAAAAGATTGCTGAACCTCTGCCCATCTTTACTTCTGAGACACTCTGACTCTCTAAGATGCTCTTTTTATACCCAATCATGTTACTGATCTTTTGCCAATTAACCTAATCAGTTGCAAAATGTTCTTCCAGCTCTTCCTTGTTAGTACCACCTACCTTTCCAGTTTTTTATTGCCCTGTCCCAACTTTTCTGAGACATTTTGCTGTCCTCAATTTTTAAAATGACTTTATTTTATTTTTTTTAAATGGGACATTTTCTCAGTTTAAACATTTGCTATGTTTTCTATTTTTTATTGTAAATAAAATATGGGTTTCTGAGATCTGCAAATCATTGCATTCTGTGTTTATTTAGATTTTACACAGCGTCCCACCTTTTTTGGAATTAGGTTGTAATATAAGTTGATGAGTGCACATGATCATAATTCTGTGGTTTATTATTGCCAGTGGCGTTGAACTGAATGTGCCAGTGTGAGAGGGGTGCAGGTGATCCCCATTTCAAGAAAGATGGATGTGGCCAGTCCTGGGGCTGCATGTGACTGTCAGTCTGTGTGTGTTGGGGGTGAAGTCTGGAAGGAATGGGTCATCAGTTGGGGTGGGGAATAAACTGAGGAACATGTAAACATGATCTGTAGATGGCTGATGTGTCAATAAAAGTCTAATTGGGTACTTCCAGTGATGCTTCCAAATAAGGGCCTGTTCACATGAGTTTCAGGTCCTGATCAAGTCCGGATCTGCAGATGCGGTGCTACGTGTTTTGCCGCGTTTTTGATGCGTTCCAGTTAAAAATATATATATATATGGAGTGGGGCTGTCAGTATGTTAGCTGCAGTGCAATGTGTTTTTGACCGGACAAAATGTGACATGCAGTATTTTTCTGTCGTAACCTAAACGGACTGAGAACTGTAGCCCATAAAACACATAGGGATACATTGGAATGCATTTTTAGTGCAGGAGCGTACGGATCAGGTCAGCACAGAAAACGGACGTCGTGTGAACAGGCCCTTAGTGCCTTTCCTTGTACAGGAACCTGAGTAAAGGCTACAGATGTTAAAATCAAAAGATGATCTTATGGACACCAGAGCCGTTTCATCTTGCCAAATTATGCTTCTGCAGTGTAGGGTGTGCTGGACATTTCCAAGATTCAAGCCTGAGCAGACACACATCAGAATTAGACATTGCAGTTTCAAGTTTTATTAACTGCCTCCGGGCCGGCCGTAGTAAAAAAACGGCCGGCCAGGAGCTCTCTAGATCTGAGCGGGCGTCTTTAGACGTCCGCTCAGACACGCCCCCTAGCGCGCGCCGCGAGCCCGGGATCAGCATGTCGCCTGTGACACAGGGGATCAGAGAGAGCTCGGTACACAAGCTCCCTCCAGTCCCCTCTCCTCTGAAAGAATGCGGAAGTGTTGTATAATACATCACTTCCGCATTCTTGTGTCACTCTCCAGCTTCAGAAGCTGGAAAGAAGCTGATGGAGCAGATCTCTGCTTCATCAGCTTCTTTTGGGGGGTCCTAGGTGACAGTGGTCATGGAGACCCCTAATGTCTCCATAAAGAAGACCTGTCACACCCTCTTTGCTATCACATAGGGGGTTTTCTTAGCTATGTGATAGCAATAAAGTTAGGTGGGAAAAAAAAAATTAAAGTTGCAAAAATACATTTTAAAGTTACACATGAAAAAGAATTAAAAAAACACCAAATTTTTTAAAAGTCCCCACCCATACATAATCTCATGCAAACATGCGTTGGGTGCGCATACGTGCGAAAACGACGATTGCACCCATTTAGCCGCACATGTTACATATCGCCGCGAACGTCGCAGTGAGAGCAATAAGTCTAGGGCCATCAATCACTGATAACACTAAACTGATGAGCGGTAAAAACGTTTAAAGTGTCGCCTATGGCCAATTTTGGTTGCCGTCGTTTTCTGCGATGTCGCGGGTGCGCGCAATTTTAAAGCTTGACATGTTTGGTGTCTATTTAACCGACGTGACCTGATCTTTTATATTTGACCAAAAAACTGGGTAATAATAAATGTTTCCTAACATAATGTTTACAAAAAAACATTAATAATAAAATAAAACCCCCCAGTGGTGATTAAATACAACCAAAATAAAGCTCCATCTGTCCCCAAAAAATGGTGTAAAATTCATTTCAGTACAGCTTTGCATGACGGAATAAACGTCAGTCAAAGTATCGCAGCGCTGAATACTGAA